AAAATTATAGCACCGCCATCCAAGATAGTGCAGAAAGCACTATCTGTCACTAAACAAGTCGGATGTTGACATGAGAGAGAAAAGGATTGCCGCCCAAGTAGAGAGCCAATATGGAGATGCTGTGCTCAAGGCAGATGCCCCTTTGTGTTTGTCATGTCTCCATGTAAATAAACGTCTTTGTCTCGTTGAGTTGCCTCACTTAAGTTATTACAATTGGTGTCAGAAGTGGGATTATAGGCGACTCAACGAGAGGAGGTAGGATTCTAGCACAATGGCATCTTTGAAAAACTAGACCAACTCTTAGTTAAAAAGCTAAGGCTGGAACTTCGTTACAGACGCCTGAAGCTTGGTGGTAGCAAGGAGGTGCTTACAGCTCGTCTCTAGCAAGCCCTAATTGATGAAGACGAAGATCCGGAGACCTACCTATTTGAAATTGAACCGGAGATTTATGAGCTTATTGGCAAGATAAATGAAGGCATGGATGCATTGTGTGAACAAATTAACAGTATGGGGAACAAGGTAGATAAAATGGTGTCTCAAGTGAAAGAAGGAGTAGACTCGTTGGTAAAGGAGCAGTTGCCTGTAGACTCGTTGGTAAAGAAGTTGCGTGGTCAAGACTGTGACTAACTAACTCAACTAACTAACAGTATGGGGAACAAGGTAGATAAAATGGTGTCTCAAGTGAAAGAAGGAGTAGACTCGTTGGTAAAGGAGCAGTTGCCTGTAGACTCGTTGGTAAAGAAGTTGCGTGGTCAAGACTGTGACTGCACTAACAGTGGTGACGGAGACGCTGGGGACTGGAGCGCCGTCTGTGTTGTGAGCAAGTCTTGTGGTTGTGACTTTCAAGACGAGAAACATGACAACGATTGCTGTGTTGATCTCAACGTGATGTACCGAATCGAACGGAAAGAGACAAATGAAGAAACTGAAGACTGTTATGTGCCTGAAGCGTTTGTTCCTGTTGGATCTGTTACCAGTATCTCAATGAGCCGGACAGATCAGGACAACGTTGGGTCTGCGTCCAAGCCTGTTGCTATGGACTTTAAAGACCTCTGCCTATTTGCCGGTGCCTACGAAGGAAATTTGAAGCTGGACAACTGCATCCAGAAGTTTAGCATGAGCTGTACGTGCGACGCATCACACGGGGAATGTGGATGCCAAGAAAACTACAAACAAGGTATGTGTACTTGTGCCATCATCATCGCCATTGGCATAGACGAATGTCAGTCAGCCCAGGCTAAATCTGAGCTGTCAAGAGGAAGACATTCGAACATTGAACTTGAAGAGACCTATCTCCTGGATGTGAGACTGTTGGGTGAGGGTGACTGCGGTATTCTCTAACTATTTTCCAAAGTGATTCTCGGTGGACACTATCAAACGCTTTCTTAAAGTCTACGAAACTGATCGTTAGCCATTGTTGGTACTCGAGACTTTGTTCTATGATATTTCATAGAACGAAGATCTGCTCTGCACATGATCTGCCTCTTCGGAAGCCTGCTTGTTCTTCTCTGAGCCTCTCATCTACAGACTGTTGAAGCCGCCTCAACAAAACAGTACTGAAAACTTTGATTGGGACAGAGAGGAGAGTAATGCCACTCCAGTTGTTGCAGTCTGCCAATGTCCCTTTTTTTGGAAGCTTCAGGATCTTTAGAAGTTCGCCAACAGAAATTTAAGAGATCAGTCATTCTGTTAACAATGCACTGCCCCCCCCCCCCCCCCCCCCCCCCCCCCCCATGTTTTAGCATTTCTGCTGACACCATGTCTAGTCCTGGTGCTTTGTTGTTCTTTAGCACCGTAATGGCCACGGTAACCTCCTCTGCAGTTATTGGGTCTGTCTTGACATTGAGATCATTGTCCGGAGAGGGGTCCTTGAATGTGTAAGTCAGGTCTGGAGACGGTTAGTTAAGGGTCTTTTTAAAGTGCTCTACCCATCTTGCATCCTGTTCTTCTTTAGTTAGCAAAGTTTAGCCTTGCTTTTCTTTTATCGGTGCTCCATGTCCACTCTTTGCTCCAGTGAGATCTCGGACAATGCGATGGAGAGTCTTTGTGTCATTTCTACATGCAGCTGCTTGTATCTCTTGACCCTTCTGTTCAATCCAGACCCGTTTATCTCGCCGACAGCGTCTCTTTACTTTCAGATTTGTTTCCCTTTAGGCTTCTTCCGCTAGGCTGCGATCTTGTGTTTCATTTTTCTGGTCTCGTCTACGTTTGGCATCTTTCCTCTCATCGATCAATTTCCATTTTCTGTCTTGTATCCACCGTTCCTTGTATGAACCTCGCCTCCTTCCGATGACTTCTTCTGCGCACTCAATAGTGGTATCTCTGAAGTTGGCCCATGTCAAGAGCGGGCGTGTGTAAGATGTGAGATTGTGTGTGTGTTTGTTTATTTTATTAGTTGGTTTGTGAATTGTTTTTATCACGGGATTTTTAAGGGGGACAATAAGGTTTCTAGCGGTCAGTCAAGCAGTTGGAGAGCTGACCTGGTCTGAGTAGGGTGCTTGTGATTGTTATCTGTTTTTATGCCTAGTGTAAGGAGAGGTTATATTATTATTCTTGCTATGTGTGTGAACGGACTATTTGTGGGTAATATTATGTTTATTTGTTAATTGAATTTAGTCTAAGCGCCCTGTAGTATTAATTTGGGCACATTTAGTATTTCAGTTATTGATGTTTATGCATTCAATATTATATGTGTAACTTGCAGTTGGCTGTAAATAAATACTAATTTTATACTCCTTCGTTGAGTGATACTTTACAATATAAAAATATTTATACATGTAAAGGTCTGCATGTGAGAATCATACAAGATGATGACAAGACCA